TGATAGCCATTCTTTCTTGGGTGAGATGATATCTTAATGTGGTTTTAATTTGCATTTCATGAATGGCTAGTGTTTAACAACTTTTTAAATGGGTTCATCTAATATAATTATATTTTACATGCTCCTGTATAGCTACCATTTTGAGAGCTCTTTATTCTTTATCCAGGACCATATAGCAACTTCTCTTTACTTCTGGATTATGCTCTTTGTTATTTTCTATATGCTACATCTGGAGATGTTAGAATATTTTGAGTTTGTATAACTGGAAAATATTTTATTTTCAGTTTTCAAAGGTATGTTTGCTAAATATAAAATTTAATGGGGACAGACTTTTTTCCAGTCCTTTGAATAAATAAGTTTTATTTATTCAAGTTTTTTGCCCACTTGTTCTTTTATTTTTCTAATGTGGAGTAAGATACTATTTAATTTTGTTCTTCCATAACTACTATTTTTTTCTATGTATATGCTTTAATGATTTTTTTCTTTACAATTAGTTTTGGGCAATTTCATTTTTGTGTATCTTGGTACAATTTCATATTTCTCATGCAAAAGTTTCACTTTTCTTGGAAATGTGGTGCTATAATTTCAACTAAATTCAGAAATTTAAAATCTTTAAATATTTACTGCCTACCTCATTCTACTTTGAGAATTTTAATTATGTGAATATAAGTTTCTTGATTTGGCACAGAATGAACTATTGTATGGCTAATCTGTAAGCTCTTCTTCATGTTTATTGTAGACAATTTTTATTGTTATATTCATTTAAGTTTGTAAATATTTTTTATGATGTGCAATCTATTATTATTCTCATGTTATGTATTCATTTCAGAAATGTCTTTCTTTCTTTTTTTATATTTTGGCGGTACCAGGGATCGAACTCAGGACCTCGCACTTGCCAGGCAGACACTTATACTGCTGAGCTATATCCTCAGCCCCAGAAATATTTTTCTAAAATTCACTGTGTCTACATCTTATATCTTTCACATTTCAATATTTGTCTGCAATTTTTAATTTGCTATATAATTATTATTTTCAATAAAGTTAATAATGCGTTAAAAATTTATCCATGTATAGCATGTGTCAGGATTTCCTTTTCTTTTCTTTTCTTTTTTTTTTTTTCTTTTCTTTCTTTTTTGAGACAGGGTCTTGCTATGTAGTTCAGGCAACCTTTGAACTCATTATGTAGCCCAGGCTGCTCTTGAACTTGCAGGGATTCTCCTGCCTTAGCCTCCAGAGTGACATGAACCACCATACCCAGTCCTTCTTTCCTTTTAAGGTTAAGTAATGTTTTAGTCTATGTATGTCCCAAATTTTATCTGCTCATCAGCCAGTGGATGCCTGTGTTGTTTCTAGCCATTATCTATCATGAATAAGACATATAAATATCAATTCAAGACACTTTTAATTTGGGGTGTTTTTTGTTTGTTTGTTTTGATATAAACCCAGGAATAAAATTGTTGGATCATACAGTAATCTTATTTTTAATATTTTAAGGAACTGCCATAGTATTTTCCATAGTGGCTGAATTATTTTACATTTGAATCAACAAGGTACCAGTTTCTCACTGCTCCACATCTTTGCTAACACTTGCTACTTTTTTTTTTTTTTTTTACATAACAACCATCCTGATGGGTATCAAGTGGTATCTCATTGTAGTTTCATTTATATTCACATAATTATTCATGATCATGAGCAGTTTTTCTTAGGCATGTTGGCCATTTGTGAATCATCTTTTAAGAAAAAGATGTTTAATCCTTTGCCCATTTTTATTTGAGGTTGTTGGGCCTTGTTGTTGAGTTGTAGGAAGTCTTTGTATAGTTTAGATATTGGTTCCTTATCAGATATGTGACTCTCAAATATTTTCTCCAGTTTTGTACTTTCTTTCTCTTTCCTTTGGTAGGCAGAAAGTTTTAATTTTTGTTAAAATTACTCCAATTACTCCGTTCTCCCTTGTCCTGCCTATACTTCCAATGTCATAGCCAAGAAATCATTGCCAAATCCAATGTCATCTTTGTATTAATCTGTTTTCTGTTATTTTAACAAAATAACTGAAGGTGGGTGACTCTGTAATGACAGGAGATTATGTAATGCACTGTTCTAGAGGTCCAGGTTCATGGCCTGGCACTGGCCAGCTCTGATGAGATCTTTCTGATGGATGGCATCACAGTGGTAGGAGCAGCGTGACAGGAAGTGGTCACAAAACATGACCGGGAGCCACACTGGCTGGGGTTTCACCAGAACCAATGAGCCCCTTTCAAGGCATGTGCTAGCGACCTAATGGTCTTTCCCTAGGCTCTACCTCAGAAAGGTCCCACAACTTCAGCATCACCACACTGAGGGCCACGCCCCCAACACATGAACATTTGGGGGACAAACCACATCTAAGCCATAGCAGTGTCGATCACTTATGTGCTTATTCTTTTTTTTTTGCGGAACCAGGGATTGAACTCAGACCCTTGCGCTTGCCAGGGAAGCACTTATTCTACTGATATGTGCTTATTCTTGTATGTGGCACATAATAAATACTGTAAACTGACTTGTGTTGCCCGCAACCCACATATTGAAGTCCAACCCTCCATGTGACTAGATTTGGGTATATAAAAACTGAAAGGCGATCATCAAGGTTAAAGCAAGTCATAATTGTGAAATATTATTATGGGATAGGACTGGTGTCCTATAGGATAGGATAGGACTGATGTCTTTATAAGAAAAGGAGAAGACAGCAGAAGCCCCCCACCCCACCCCACTGTGTGCATACCGAGAAGACAGGCTATGTAGCGTGGTCTGAAGATGCCCTTGAGTTCATGTGCTGGAAACTTATTCTCCCTTGTAGGTATTGGATGGTACAAACTTGAAGTTTTTTTAAAATCTACATATTTAGTACAGGATCTACATGGTCTCAATACATAGGTTGGATTTGTAGTGATCCTTCCTGTTTCTCAGCTTACCAAGTGCTGGGATTACTAGCGCACACTCCCATGCCCAGTCTTATACACCTTCAGCATGCCCCAGGGTGCGGCTGGCAGGGCAGGCAAGGGATCAAACTCCTGGCCCCTGAGCCTGCCTAAGCAGGCACTTTAATCCACTGAGCTATCTGGCCAGCCCTTAAAAGGTGTTAGGTTTTGAGGGCTTTACCTTCACTCATGGATTAATGCTGAAATTGAGGAAATGAATCATTTAGCATGGAGGCTAAATGATGAAAAAGTGAGCTTGGGTCTTCTTGTTGTCTGTCCTACATGGTTGACTACCCTTCCTCTTTGATGCAAGAAGTTCCTCATAGCACGCAGAACCTTGATCTTGATCTACCCAGACTGTAGTGCTCTATTTTAACAACACAAAACTAAGACACCTTGTAAGGACACAATAAAAAGAGGTGGCTATTTGCAAGCCAGAGAGAGTCTTCCTCACAGATTCTGTTGGTACCTTGATCTTAGACCTATAGCATCCAGAACTGTGAGAAAATAAAAGTCTATGTAGAAGCCATATGATCTGGTATTTCATTCTGACTGTTCTGGGTAGACCAGTGCAACCACGCCCAGCGTCGTAATTTTGGATGTGGATGTCTAGGCACGATGTCTGTCCTCTCCCATTGAGTAGGCTTAGCATCCCACAGAGCATCGTTTGTCCATCTGTGTGAAGTTCTATTTTACACAGACGTATTCTATTGTATTTTACACAGATATATTCTATTCCACTGGTTTATTAGTCTATTTTTATGCAAGTTTCTTAGTTTTTCTATATTGCATATTGTTATCTTCAAAGAAGTTGTTCACATTACCAGATATAAGCATAAAAACCAGTCAGAAATATGGAGTACTTCGTGTGTTTGCATGTCATCCTTGCGCAGGAACCATGATATTCTCTGTATCATTCCAATTTTAGTACATGTGCTGCCAAAGCAAGCACAACACATCAATTTTGAGTACTGTGCTTTGAAACAAGTTTTAAAATCAGGAAGTGTGAGGCCTCCAATCATGTTCTGATTCAGGACTTTTTGATAACCCTAAGTCTTTGGAGGCTGGGGATACAGCTCAGTAGCACAGTGCCTGCCTGATAAACACAAAATCCTGAGTTCAATTCCTGGTACCAAAACTACAACAAACCCAAACAGAATTTTGGGATGAAGTTTTTATTTCTGCAAAACATGTTTTGGAGATCTTGATAGGCATTGCATTAACTCTATAGATTGCTTTGGGTAGTACGGAGAGCTTAACAAGATGAAGCCCTCCAATTTGTGAACAAGGGATGTAGTTCCATTTTTTTATGTCTTCTTTGATTTTTGCATGTCTCTTTACTCCTTGATTAAGTTTATTGCATTGTTTAAGAATTATTTTCTTAATTTCCTTGTCCATTGTTACTGTATAGAAGCACACCGATTTATTTTCTTTTTTGAGACAAAGTCTTACTATGGTGTTTAGGCTAGCCTTGAACTCACTCTGCACCTCCAAATTTGCAACAATTGTGCTATCTCCTCCTCCTGAGTTTTGGGATTACAGACGTGCGCCAACACCCTCTGCTGTATGTTGATTTTGTATTCTTTGATTTTGTTAATTTCATTTCTTTCTTCTAGCAGTTTTGGGTGTGTAGACTCTGTAGGGTATTCTATATGTAAATCATATTGCTTTGCACAGAGATAATTTTACTTTTTCCTATCCAATTTGGAGCCTTCCTTTCCTTTGCTTGCATGATTGTTCTGGGCAAGAAGGCCAGTACTTTGTTAGAAGCAGCAAGAGTGAGTGAGTGTATTTTCTTCTCTTGCTCCTGATCTACAAGATAAAGCTCACTGTGTTCTACCATTAAGTGTGATATTCACAGTGGGATTTTCATATGTGATCTCTATTAGCATTTTTCTTTGTTTCTAGTTTGAGTGTGTGTGTGTGTGTGTGTGTGTGTGTGTGTGTGTGTTTTAACCATAAAAGTTTTAATTCTGTTAAATGATTTTTTTTTTTTTGCTTACTCAGGCTGCCTTAAGGGCAGGTCTGGCAATGCATGTGGAGGTGGGGAATTGAACCTCGGTATCCTGTGCCTGACTGCACTTGCGTGAGCGGGCGCTTAAACAACTGAGCTAACCAGCAGGCCTCCTGTGTTAAATGATTTTCCTGCATCAGTGGATATGATCATGTGTATTTTCCCTCATTCTATTAGTGTGGTATTGGATGATGGTTGATTTTTGTTTTTATCTTTTCTTTAAAGGGTGCTGGAAATGAACCCAGGTCCTCGTGGTTGCTAGGCAAACACTTCCACTGAACCATACCTAGTTCAGGCTGGTCTTGAGCTCCTTATGTAGAACCCAGGTTGGGCTTGAACTGATGCCCATCCTCCTGTCTCAGTCTCCTGAGTGCTAGGACTAAGGATTCGTACCCATGCCGGGCCCAGCCCTGATTTTTATAAATTCATCCCCTTCTTTTATCTCAGGACTAGAATACACTTAGTCACAGAGCATAATATGCCTTTATTTTTTCCTTTGACAAAAAAAAAATCACATAATCCAACTTGGTTCCTCTTTTTACCTTGCTTTTTCAGTGAGCTTAACATAAATTTGTCTCTGCATTTGGTGACCAGCTCATCTCCGTGTTTGTACTCCCTGCTTGGGTTGTCATTTCTCTTACAAGTGTGTTGCACACCTTCCATTGAAAGTTTCACTTTCAAAATTAAAAAAAACTTTGTTCTTGTTAAAGTCATTCAGCTTATTAAGCAAGCTATTACAGTGTTGACAGTGATGCAACATATATCTTTTCTTATAGGTCAAAGAGCCTCTGGCATTAGTATTTTCTAAAGTTAACTGAATAAATTAATAAAACAATGCCTTGTTTTTAAGTTAGGAGAAAGAGATTAGTCACACTTTGAATGAGCTAATATTTTTAATCAGATTTTATTGGCACATCTCAGATATACACAGTAATCAAATTCGTCATAGAGAACTTGTACCTGATATAACTTGTTTCTTTTGAGTGAGCTAATTTTTGAGATGAAATTTCAACTTTGCTTTTCACTGTTTCATTTCCACTTTGAGTGATACAGGAAAAAAAATCACATTACAGAAGAATGATGGAAGCCAATTTTATATGTCTATGTGTTTCTATTTTTCATTTGAATAATCTGATGATTACAACATTGTGGGGGATGAACTCCCCAATTAGGAAGCTGCCTCTTAAAAAAAAGATCAGTGTAGCCTAAAAATGTAACTTCGTAGTAGAACACTTGCCTAGCGTGCACCAGGATCTAGTTCAATCTCCAGCACAGCAAAGTCAGTTTGCGAAATTGGAGAAAATAATAGATATACACTTTAACTTAAGTACTCCACAGATGGTGTTTCTTGCTTCTTAGAAAGTCAAGGTATGTTATAAAAATTCCCATTTCTAGTTATTCCAAGTTTAAGAAAAATAA